CTCCTGCCACTACTTGAATGCCTCTACGTGTCTCACACACATTCATTTTGAATCAAGAGTAGACCTCGTGTGTGGGCACAAGAAATAGTCACAAATGAAGGCTGTACATGTCCCCTCGTAACTGTGTATTTTGCTTTTCAAGGGAAAAACGACCGCTACAACCTGTGGGTATAGGTTAAGTTGCACTTAATTCAGTGGCGCTCATCGTGATGTATTCAACAGAGCTTGAAATTTATGAATTCGAATGGGATGACGGGACTATTGTGAAATCGATTAGGAGATTCTCTTTGAAGCAATGGAGATAATCCTGATGAAATGATGTTTCGCTTAATGCACAAAATGCAACTGGGAATGTCAATGAGACTAGTATGAATAAATAACGACATAAATCGGAGTGAAATTCGAAAGATCTGTAGCTTTTTGAATAATTATTCGGGGATAATGAGTCCAAAAGCTATCTCTCAATCCCATCAGACCCGAATGTCTTTCATCCACCCATTTCAATACAGAATCACAATTTTATTCTGGAATAAAAAAAATGTGAAATGACCCTTTTTTCAATTCTCAGCTGATCGCACATTTTGTGTTTGATCAAGATGGCATGTCCCATGAAAAAAGGAAGGAGCGAGACACCCAAGGAAATTCTGACAAAAGAAAATATCAGGCTTTCTCTGAATAGATTGAGAATAAAAAATAATAAAGTGAAATGTATAAAGTACAATTCGCTTTTACTTATCGTCGTTGGGATTCCTCTAATTGCATTTTTATCGGAATAAAAAATGATGCGAGATGAATCCGTTATGGAGCTTTTGCCACCCCATCTTCATCTTTTTTTTTCTCCATCGTGGATGAAAGAATGAGAGGGAGGCCTCCCCTCGGCCCTCTGGGGGTTGCAGGAGAGAGAGGGAGAGAGTGTGATGCGAGGCTGGAGTGTGAGGGCTGCCGGGGAATGAATAGGCGACGTTGGAAACAAAAGCATCCAACCGGTAGAACAGGAACACAGAGACAAAAGAGAGGGGGAGGGTGAGGAAACGAGGGGAGGGGCAGCTCAAAGAGGAAGGGGTGTGAGGGGAGTAGTTACAAATGGCGCGTATTCGCGACGACATTGTTTTAAATGGCTGTCAGACGACCGGAATTTATCCCGTTTTACAAAAACCAGGACGAGTGACGAGAACTTGTAAATTTATTTATTTATTGGCGGAAATGGCGGTGAGGGGCAACGGTCAACAGTAAAAGGGGTAGATTTTTTTCGGGTTATCTTATTATTTAATTTTGCCTGGATAAAGATAATTTGAAATAAGATAAGATAACTTCATGAGATGAATAACATAAGATGAAATTTTTCTTCTCGAAGATGATTTTTCCTTGAAAAAATCGTCCATGCTATGTTATCTCGAGATAATATGAGATTTTTTTTTCAATTTTTCTCGATTATCTAGATTTTTTCGATGTTGAGAAAACGCGTTTTCTTCACGATAATTTTTGCTATCGATTATCTAATTTTAGCTGACCTCCAAACTCTGCAATTATTCCCGAGATGATGAATACTGAAAAGATACAATTTGAATAGAATCGTCTCGAGTGAAAAGGGTTTACAGTCATGCGCAAAGTTTTAATCTTTTTTTTTCTCTTCCCCTCTTGAGTTTGGCCGTTCTCGAGGCCCTTTTCATCCCCATACTTGGCGTTCGTAGGCTTCCGGATGAGATCAAACGAAACTCACCGTTGAAGGTAGAAATTGGCCGCTTCCGGGTCGCGTTAATTCTTAATTTCTTAATTTCGAGTCGACCTTTAAGTACCCGTAACCAAAGAGGTCTGGCGAGCTGGGGTTTCGTCATTCTCATTCTACCTCTATTTTTTTTTACTCCTCAGCAAACCCGTCTCTCTCTTTTCACTTGTCTTTTACCTTTGACTCAACGGGGGAAACAGAGGGATTCTGGATTAAGACCGAGGAGCAATTAAACTCTTACACTTTCTTGTCGTATTTTTTTTTCGCTGAGCAACTCCGTGACCTTTTCCGTTTAATTTCGGATGAATAAATCATCGGAGGTTGAGGTTATGTTTTTGATCAGTTAGGCAGGATTATATCGTTGTTCATCTGGAATCGATTGACTGTCAATCGTGGCTTCAATTTTGACAGACAATTTTTTTCACCGCGAGTGATAGCAGAATAAAAATTAGTCTTGTCGAGGTATTCTATTTTATTCAACATGCAGAACTATAAAAGTTTGATGAGACTGTCACAATGTGATAGGCGTTCGTGATTGATTCATCACTGTGGTGGAAAAAAAAGAAAAATCTATTTTCATCGCTTTTTTATGTTTTTCTTCATTTATTAATGTTTTTCAGTGGATCCAATATACTAGATGCAAAATGTTTCTGCACGATCAATCAATTTAAATCGCAAAAATGCAGAATCTGGAGAAACACAATTATGGGCCAAATATTTTTTTTATGACCTTTAAAAGCTTATATAATCTTTTCTAATGAATCTGGTCTGACCTCTTTGACCTTCGAAACCATGTGACCCTTAACCCTGTACGTTTTTACAAGTCGTTTGATCCTCATGACCATTTGACCTTCAACTCTACAGGTCTTTGAATGTCGCTTCACCCTCAAAACTATTTAACCTTCAATTCCAAATGTCCTTAAAGGTCGTTTGACCCTCAAGACCATTCGACCTTCAACTCTATACGTGTCTGAAGACCATTGGCCCTCAATTTCAAACGTCCTTAAAGGTCGTTTGATCCTCAAGACCATGTGACCTTCAACTCTACAGGTCTTTGAAGGTCGTTTGACCCTGAAAACCATTTCACCTTCAGCTCTAAACGTCTTAAAGGTCGTGTGACCTTCAAACCAATTAAACCCCCACCTTCAAACGTTTTTAAAGGTTGCTTAACCTTCACCTCCAAATACATTAAAGGGTCATGAAAAATGATGAAGTAATTCACAAAAAAAATTACTCAATCCCCAAAATTATAAACACTAAAATTGAATAATGCCAATACCTTCCACAGAATCCTCGTAATTAAAAATTTATCCCCCTAGTCCTGTCGAGGCTGATTCACCGGGGGCCGGCATTAAAATCACTGGCGTGAGTGGCGGTGTATGCTCGTCGAACAGAGTTGAAGTGGCGTTATAGGTAAAATTGGAGAGAGGGTGGGGGGAGGGAGATTTAATGACTATGGTGACACGACGGAGCATGATCATGATGATCATGGCGTCGGCAAAACGTCAAGCAGGAGTGTCATGACGCGAGTAGAGTTTACCGTTTGTGAGATATCGTATAAATCAGTACAAAATGAGGCACAATCAGTGATGGAGGGGGGGGGGGAGAACTATATCGGAAATTCGGACCAATGAATTTTCCGTTAATCGACAGTGTATTGAGTTTCAGCCATTTTATTGTTACAGGGGCAGTCTGCCAGGAGGGTTCGCTATCGCTAGGATAATCCGTTACCATGCATTGATTCAGGATGAATAAATAATTAATTTTTTGTTTGTTGAATGAGGAGAAATACTTCACTATTTTTTTTTTAGAAAAAGTGAGGTTACGACGAACATGAAAAAAAAAATTGATTGAACCGAAGTTTTAACCTTCGTGACTTTTGTGACTCTCATGACCCTTACAAAATTTTATTTATTATTTTTTTTCAACGAAAAATTGGGATATAGAAAGTTCCCAAAATATTGGATTGAATTGATATTGCGATCCTCACGACCCTTATAAAAACCAATCAAGGATTTCTCGAAATTGAATGATAAATTTTTAAGACTCACCGGGCCGAACTGTTCGAAGTAATTTTTGACGTCCTCCAGCGTCGTCGGCGCGGATAACCCGCCGACGAATATTTTCTTTGTCCTTGTCACCATCTGCAAAGAAACAATAAATGAAACAATGAGAATCCAGTGTAAAATGATAAATCGAGGCGTAGGATATCACTTGTCACTCCACAAAGCCCTAACCAAATAATTTTTCCTCCTCAACGCATGAATTATCACCCGAATTCAACCGTGAATAAACCAGAATCACTTAATGTACATCACTATATCTATATATCAATTCCTTCTCATCCGGAAGGCAACCGATACGCGCGATTAATAATAACCGTCTCTCGTTGCGTAGTTGAAGGAATAAACCCGATGGATCTTCAAGGGGTGTTCGACCAAGTGGAAAAGAAATCGCCCCGGGGGGAGGGAGGAGACGAGGGATGAAGACGAGACAGAGTGGTGCGAAAAGAAAAGCCCTCTTTGCGTTTTTTCCACCCGAAGAAATCGGGAATGATGACGAAAAAAAAAGAATTATTGAATAGAGACCGACGGAAAATGGCGAACGGTGATAATAAATGCGCGTAAACTATTTCTTATCGGGAAAAATATTGGTTGAAGAGAGAAATTTTTTTTATATCAACAATTCTTGTGGGAGAAGATGGAAAGATAGAATGGTTTTTCCAAGATAATTTATTTCGTCATATATAAGGCCAAGTTATCACGTGTTTCGACGAAATTTTCGTTTTATCTCGAGAGGAGATAAAATTACATCTTCGAGATAAGTGACGATTGGATTTTTCTCTCATCTTATTTTTTTTAGATATTAACTCACGTTCTAAGCAGAATTTTTTTTTCTATAACAGCAATTTTTGAATGAGAAGATTGAAAAATCAGTTGATTTTTTATAAGATAATGGATTGTAATCTTATATCAGGCCATCTTATTCCGGGTTTTGACGAAATTTTCGTTTTATCTCTAGACGAGCTGAAATAACATCTTATTATTCTTGTTAGATATTATCTCATGTTTTAAGCGCGCAAATTTTTGAAAAATAGATATTGAAGAAATAGGGAATGACGGAAAAAAATTGAATGGAGATCGATGGAAATTGGCAAACGGTGATGATAAATGCACGTAAACAATTTCTTATCCGAATATTATAAAATATTGGTTGAGGGGAAAAATTCTTTTTGACATCAACAATCCTTGCATTTCCATTCGGAGGACTTTTGAAACTCCTCTTTCATGTACTCGACAAAGTTCTCGTATTTTTATTCCCATTTTTTAAACCTCCCACACCCGATCCTCGGACGCGTGAGGAGATCTTTCCGGCTATCGCAGGATAAAAAAGCAAGGGCGTACATACAGGATGCTGAGAGAAAAGAGGAAAAACTAAAGTATGGTTGGAGGAAAAAAAATGAGAAAACCACTTGCCTTTACCGTGAGGCGACGCGTTTACGTATACACACGCTCTTTCTCTTTCATACTCGATAAGTTGGGAAAGAGCCGACGTGGTGGGTTCGAAGGATAAAAGAGGTATATGAAAAGAGGGTTAAAGAGTGCGGGGGGAGGGTTAGGGGGAAGTTCTCTCATAAGTGTCTTTCGGGCGACTTTCGTAGGCGACCTTTTGCCCCAGTAAAAACTGATTTTATGAAATTTTTTTCTAGTACTTCAGATAATTACACGTGTGAATTGATGAGATGATGTTTTTTATTTACTGAAGATGAATTTTTTGCAGGGGGTTATGCTATCTTATCTGCATTAGCCGCACGGAGAGAAATTTTCTAGAAAAATTCTAGTATGAGTACTGGAAAAAATCACAATCCATCGGCTGTGAAAAATTCTAGTACTGTTAAGGTAAAATTTCTTGGTATTTCTGGTAAAATTTCGGGGGATTTCTGTGAAATTTTCACAGAAATACGGGGAAAAATTCACGTTTTCCCCAATAAAATTTCTAAAGCCAGCACTGGAATTTTTTCCTGACCGTCATTTTGCGCCTCTTTTCCTGTGCTAGCACTAGAATTTTTCTAAAAAATTTCTCTCCGTGCGAGGGAATCAGAAATGGCGTAGTTGAACAATTTATTGGTGAAAGCTCAAGATTATCATTAAATTTCAGATGATAATTTAATTATCATGAGTGTAGAAATTGTCGCATATTGAAAAGCGAATTCGAGTAGATGGGAGCCCGCCATTTTCAGAAGAATGTGGAATAAAATCAAACTACACTGCTATAAATTTTTTGAAATTTCATGGAAGATATTATAGTAAATGTCATGAGACTGAGATTGGATCAGATTTAGGGACAAAATGGTTATGAAATTTCAAGTTTCAAGTCGAATTGACGGAAATTCATGGGTTTTCAGTGGGACTTAGACGGAAGTTTTACAACTTGATTGAATTTTCAATGGAGCATGAATATTCAGAAACGAAATAACATGAATTTTCAATTTTTCCCTGAATTTCCCTGATTTTTCTGAATTTCCACAGAATAAGTGAATTGAATAATCAAGTATTTTACTGATTTCCAGATCATTCGAACAGAAAATCAATGGAATATTTGATTTTTCAAGGACAAGATTTCCTGAAATTTCAGTGGAACGTGAACACGATAAAAATTTCCGGCATTTGGTAGGAGAAATTCAGACGAAAATTCTTAACAGTGTACCACTGCGAACGTCATACTACTAATATCTACGTCCTCAACTTCTCATTTCACTCATTCTACGCGATAAGAGAAGATGATGGAAATTGTAAAGCTCCTTGAAATCCTCGAGAGAGAGAGAGATCATCCTCATGAAAAGATCGATAAGTCCTCCCGCCAGAACCTTTTCTCATAAAAATAAAGGGGGTAAAAAAAATATTGAGAATGAGTGGAGGTACAGAAGTAACGAGAATTGGGATGGGGTGGGCTAAATATAGAGTAGAATAAGAGGGAGGTGAACTGAGGGGGCAATTTCAGTGATGGCTGGAGCTTAGACTGCTCTCTATATCCTGATGTATCTCCTTAACCTTTCAATTCATCTTCTTCCGCCCTCCTCAGAGTGCAAAAAATGAGTGAAGGAATGGAGAGAATAAAGTGAAATAGAATTAATCAACAAAGTGTATAAATAAAGAATGATAACATTGGAATAAATGAGAAGCAAAAAAATTGTTGAATGAAACTCTGTCAAGGGATGGGGGTGGGGCTGGATTTAAAGTCGATGGTCTTAAGATAAAATCGTAAATGAACCTCCATTGTCTTTGAAATCCATGGGAGACAAAAGGCAGAAAAGCCACATGAACTTCTACTCAGCTCGAATAACGAATTGAGAGGAAGAATGGAAAACTTGGAAATGGACTTGTTGCCGGGTCCAGTTTGTGTCTTTTGATATTCACTTTGGGTGAAATTTCCTGGGATTTCAATCCATCTGAATTATCTTGGGGTTGTGAAGAAAATTGGAAGGGGAGAGGAGGAGGAGGAGGGGGGAGATTCATTATTGAATCCTTGAGTTTGCTGTTTCTTGGGTTGATGGAATCCTGAGATTAATCGGGGGGAAATTTTCATTAATTATCGGGGGTCGATCGGGATTTATCGTATTTTTATCTTGGGACAGGTGGAATGAGTCGAATGTGGGTCACGTTGTGTGGCTGAAAGGATCTGGAGGGTCCCACTGCAAGTTCAATTGACATCTGTTTTATTTGAAAAATGAAGAATTATAGGTCATTCTTGTTTATCATTTAATTTTCAATTTAAAATAAAATTAAAAGATGGTTTAAATTCGATTTTGTCTCGAGATAAAATGGCATTTAATCTAAGATGAGATAAGACGAAAATATGAGATATTTTCAAATCAAGATAGTCTATTTTATCTTGTATCAGACTATTTTAGCGTGTGTATGGGTCACATTTTTACAAAATTACATCATGAAGACAAGCTAAAATTAACTCGTACCTCAACTTTTATCTCATCTCAACTATCTTCAGGTATTATCTCATTTTGTAAGCGGGAAATTTTTTAAAAATGTCGTCCACATAAAAATATAATAAGAACGCTTCAATAACATTCACCAGGTGCACCTGTTTGAGCAATTTGTCGTTGAAACTGAGGGCCAAGAGGGTCGCATTAGGGACCAAATGGCATCTCCCAACGTCATAAATATACGAATAACCCCTCCATAATCACCTCGATTACATCAACCCACATCATCTCCACCCCGAAAAGAAAAGCCCACAAAAACAGTAATTCAAAATAATCTGACAGTCGTTCCACCGGCTGACCCTGGAATACACAGAATGAAAAGCCCCCGCTGGTCGGTGTAAAGAAAACGTTAATGGAAAGAGAGAGACAGGAATATTCCACTTATTATGCCGTAGCATTATGTAAATACCGGAAGGCTATTACAATTTTACAACTTACTAGGAGTAGCTTTATAGTTTTCATCGCCAGCGGGCTCCGACTACATCTTTTCATCCCCTCCTAACAAAACTCCTCTGACTCATTCTTTCACTAACCCATTCTCCTCTCCAACCCCTCTCCTCCTCCCGCCAGAGCTCTTCGGCATGAAACTATTTTAATTTTCCGAAGACTCAGTTCTTATTTTCTTTCTTCTTGGATTTTTTTTCGGAGGACATATTTCTCTCTCATGATTTCATACTTTCACGTCCTCTTTTGCTCGTTTTTGTCCCCTTTTTTTTATTAAAACCGCGTGCTTTTGGCCGTGAGGGTGGGAGGAGGGAGAGAATACGGAAAGGGGGGGGGGTTAATATTGAGGTGGATTTCCGCGTCTTTTGCGGTGCTGCGGCGGTGAAATTACATTCAACCTAGCTTTCAATGTTTCCTCTCTTTTGCATAATGAAATAGTACCGTTAGTATTATATTAGTGAAATTCCACCAGGAACATGAGACACGAAGATACTTGAGATGCTTTCATTTTGTCGCACTCAACTGCGGGGAGGAGAATTGTTGTTGGTTGAGATATCTGAAATGAGTTTAATCGTTTCTCTCATTGTTTCGTCATTCTTTTCAGGCGTTCTTTACACTTGGAAATTGGGTACTGGATACTGTTGAAGGCGTTTATGAGAGAGATTTTCACAAGAGGGTCAAGTGTTTATTTGGATATTT